TGCTCAAAAAATTATCTCAAGATTCATACCAAATGATGAATTTTTTTTATGCCTTCTTATATCTTAAAAAAACAATGATTGCAAGGACAAAGATGATAAAGACAGATTGGACAAAGAACAAACCCACAAAGAAATATGTAGATATAGGAAGAGGGTTTAAAACCCACAAGCATTCCTAATTTCACAGCTGAAACCAGTCCCTGAAAAAACCCTCACATAACTTAAAACCACTTATACATGAAAAAGGATCAAAATTCATATATTCCAGCATGAAAAAAACTTACACATAACCAACTTAGTTTAAGTAAAACCCATAGATAGCAGCTTAATATAAAATAAACATCAGAAATCCAACAAACTAGTATACGCTGTGTCAATGCAAACTCTTTCTCATAAAAAAGAAATCAAAAGAATAGAGCAATGCTCAAGTTAAACAAAAAATATATTCCTCCAAACATCTTTTAACTCTAAGCAACAATGCATAGACATATGTATTGAATCTTACCAAATCTTCATGAATTAACAAAGACAGAGCCCACAATGAATAAACCCACAAAGAAACAAGTAGAGGTAGAAGAAAATTTAGAACAATAAAAAAATTTAAGATCGATGGAATATAAAGGAAAACACTATCAATCAAACCCTTGCCTCAAAAAAATTTTTAGGGCATCTTATATAATACAGACTTTCGAGCGCTCAATATTACTCTCACAGAGACACCTGTCATTTTAACAGAGCGAAACCGTGGGCCCTAGGTCAGTGACCACAGCGTAAAAATAAAAATGTGTTTAATTAAACACAACTTCAACGCGAAAAACAAACATATTAATTCACGTTTTCACGCCACAAAACCAAAAAAAATCACGCCAAATGGGCTCTCAAGTCCACTGAATAATATACATGCTTACAATGATCTAAATGTAAGAAATGAAAGGCTTGATGATGATCTATATGATTATCTTAATTCAATGAATTGTTTGGCATATAGTGTGAAACTTATTTTTTAGATTATGTAAAATATCTCAAACTGTTATCATACTAACAAATTATATATTTGTTGTAAAAAAGTAAAATTTTGTCATGTCCTTCATATTTAGCATCAAATAGACAAAATAAGAATTTAAAATCATTCATCCACTTTACCCACATTAATTATAAAGAATAAAAAAAAAAGGATTTAATATATCGTATGAAAAATAAAAAGATTAAATGCTCCCTGAGCCCCTTCACTCTCATTCTTTCTTGATTATAATGAGAGATGCATTCTCAACAAATAAAAGCCAAGAAGGCCATCCTAAAAGTAAGAAAAGGAGTACTTACATCTGAAGCATTAGACAATGTTGAGGTGAAATGCAATGTGTGGGTATGCCTGATTAGAAATATGGTCCACATATGGTGAGATAAGAGGCAATCAAGCAAGCATCATGTACCAATTGATAATTGGATGATTAACTACTGATATGACCAACATAGCAAAGGCTTATTGATGGCTAAAAAGCAGTGGGTCGATATTCTCCCACAAAATGGGCTTATTAAATAATATGATTTTCTAGCAAGGGCATCATGATTTGTGTCAAAAGGGTATGACACGATTGTTATTTCATATTTTATTTGGCCATATTGTATTGTTGGAGTGGATAATTTAAGTAGCAACAACTAACATACTAGGGCAAAAAAGATGAAGTCTTTTAGGATTACAAAAATTTGATCTGCAATTTAGGAAAAAACCAACATATATGCCAGGATATAATTTGGTTAATATTCAGTCTATGAAGTAATCAATCGTTTGAAACTTGGCGGCAAGTCTTCTAAATATTTGACTTGTTGAAAGTACCTCCTTTTAGTTGGCATTTTCTAAAGGCTGAATGGTTCTAGCTCAAAGGATTCTTCTAAACACAATCATAATCAAATTAGCTTGAATGCAAATCAACTTAATTAAACTTCAAATTTATTGACACATTATCATTTTGATGGAATGTGAATTAAAGTATTACATTCAGCCAACAATAGATGAAAAAACTCATAAATCTTCACTCCTCAATTTCCTCTTTATTGTCTTAAAAAGATTATCAGTATTTCAACCTACTATTTTAATTAATGGGGAGCTAGGGATGAGAAGGATATCATGATGGATGAGACGAAATTCCAATTTTTAAGGATAAAATATTGGTGGGAAGAATGTAAGCATATGAAAGAGATGAGAATTCAGGAGATGCAAACCTTTTTTTCATTCAACATAAAATTAGCTATCATTGCATGATGAATTGGTGGAGGCGCATGCTAGGATTTCCGAGTACACAAAGTATTTCATAATGCTCTAGGGAGGAATGGTACTATGACATCATCTAGGAGAGAAGAAGGGGGAGCTGAATGAAAACAAAGTTAATATTAAAGCCACATCAGTGAAAAATTTGGAGGACTTTAAAGATAAGACATAAATCTGTGAAATCTAGAAGTGCGTTCAAATAGCTCATGATGAGCTTGTGTATGACAAAGTAAAAAAAGAATCTAGAGAGAGCGCCTCGAGTAAGAATTCATTTGAGGCATACTTAAATGACATTATTTGGTATAATATAAAATTTGATTTTATATCGAGGGACCACTCCGAGTCAGGTGTTCTAAGAGTCCTTTCCAAGTATGAAGAACAATGAGACATACCATTGCCAGCACAAAGAGAAGTTTGACTTCATTGGTTTCTCACTAATACAAGGATTGGTCTAGATGATCTTTTCATTGTTCATCACGACAACCAATTTGTTATTGACACAATCCTTTGTATTGTCAATGTTCTATGTATTTGCTTAAAGGCATTTTTATATTCTAGTAAGATGTCCTGCTATTGTTCTCTCTCAAGCATTTTTCCTCCTTGGTGCCCAGAAAAACATGCTTAAAATATCCAAAAAAAAAAAAAAACCACATATAAGCCTATGCTAATTGCTTCATTAATTTATATGAAATAACTTGAAATTTACCACTAGTTGCTCCCAAAACATCATCAAAACAGCGAAGGGATGTAGGACCATATAGGGCGAGGAAGCATAAAGGCATCATAGAGGTCCTTGGCTAAAATATTCATCATTATATGGTCAATAAAGATAAGAAAATAGTGAAATATAACTATAACAGTGAGTAACTTGGTTCAAATTATTATGAGAAAAAAAAAACATTTATTGACCAATTTTACTAACATAGGGATGATGGTGATTAGTCTCTCTTCCACCACATATACTAGAGGGTGTGATGTCACTCAAGTATGAAGAGCCAAACCATGTCCATACCTTATCTTGAGATTCCCATCAACCGCCACAACCTCCCTGCATATCTAGCACAAAAACATTGAATATACTGCGAATGATTCTCACATTACACGTTAGTGAAATTATTCTCTCCATTAATTGTCTTCAATTTACCACTAAAAAAAATGAAACACCTACACATTCCCCAAGTTCATCTTTCAAGCAAAATGCATGAACTAATGAATTCATGAATGTGATTGTATGTTAAAAAAAAAAGAGAATAAAAATTCATTACCATCCTTTCAATTCCTTGCAGAAGGTTACACACACACACACACACACAGAAGTCAATAATAACATTAATAATGATTGCACTATGATTTTTCTATAAACATTAAATTCTGAATAAGATTTCCCGTTTCCGAATGAAAACAGAATACAACTGTATCAAAAGAAGAATCACCACCACCACAGCCAGCTAAAAGATAGGTGGGTGAAAAATAAAACTTACAATAATAAAATCATCTCTATTAAATCTACAAAAAAAAAAAAAATCCTAAAAAAACTCCTGTAATCTTCCAGTCTCCATACACTCAGCTGCGTGTTAGGAAGAAATCTGTGATTTGCATTCGAGACGAGCGAGAACACTGAAGAAAATTGGCTCCAGCACAGAAAAATAGATATTTAGAAAATGGCGCAGATAGCGTCAACTAAAATTCGCCATTAGTTTAGTCACCTTAGAGGCAATATAGTAGCCGTATATTTCCTGAAGCTGCAAAATAATAGCAGAGATTGAAGAGTTCAGCAAGAGAATCATAGTATAAAACAATAGTGCTCACTGTTATTGGCCAAGTGAGCCCCATTCAAAGCATATGAGCCAATGAAAAGATGCGAGATAAGCCCGTGAGGACGAAAGATGCATATTGGTAAAATGAAGGTCATCTACAAGAAGTTGGGTTTCTTATAGTCTAATAAATGCTTGATTTTTATGCTCATAGTAAGCCAAAATTCACCCATTTATGAATCTCAAACACATAACTCATTGGTTAAAAACAAAATATCACTGTTAAATTGTGGAGCCTATTTTGTTACATGAAGAAAACAAAAAAAAAAATTATGCAGACCAAATTACAGGCGAGCACCCAGCGGTCATCTAATATTTACAGTAATTCTATTAAAAGAATTTTGGGATTTTTTGTTGTATTCTTTTGGATAACATAAATTTCTATCAATTCAAAGCGAAATCTACAAAATGATATCGCTGATCTTCTTTACATTTTTGTTCTTTTTGCTCTCGATATTTATAAAGAATCTTACTATTTCCTAACAATTTCGTTGAAGAAGGACCAAATATAAACTTTACCATATAGCCAATCTTTAAAATGTGCATGAAGGGCAGAAGCAATATCACGCTTCTTGTTCTCATCAAGCTGCGCGCTCCTAATAGTTTCCTGGATCTCATTCAGAACAGAGTGCTGCCAGATAATTTTTTAATGTATAAGGCCTTCCACAAATTAAAATCAGAAAAAAGCTCCATTGTTTTTCAAAAATTGAAGCCATGAAATGCAGAACACTTAAAAAGATGAACATAAATGAAAAGATATAGAGTAAGGCCCAAAGCAGGGTAGACATGCATTTGAGATTATTAATTATTAGAATCATACAGTTTTCTTTTGCGCCGCAACATAAGCCTCGGGCAATGGAAATGGGTTACCTTTTGTACTTTCTACTAAATTAGCTCCATACCACTTGGGAATCTGCATACAAGAAGAATGTAGAAAAGAGTGATGTGAAGTCACAGCAGTATTAATATTTTGAGATTGAAAGCAAGGAAAGGGATTAGAAAAATGATAATCCGTCTACATTCATAAGAGATCCTAAAGAAAAAGGGGCAAACTTTAAAACTTCTCAAAACAAATTATTTCTGCATATTCTTTCACATGATGTAGATTTGATTTAATTTTACATTTTAGATATTTCTTTTATTTATGGTTTTCTTGTTTGAGAAGCAGCAAGATTTCCTCTTTGTAAAGAGATATAAAATCGAGTTTGAGCAAATTCCAAAGTAGTTATCTATTCCACGTTGGGCGTGCAAAAGGCCTGAAGAAACTAATCAGACAATGAGTTTTTTTTTAGCTACTGCTTATTGAATTTGTTTTTGTATTCTTTCTGAACCCAAGATAATTAAGATAAGTTTATGGTGCCGTCTGGTAAAGGATTTAACTTAAATATGCCAGAAAAAAATAAATGGGTAAATTTTAAATCCTAGATTTAGTAAATCCAGTTTCTTCTCATTTCCTCCAAGGTCTTAAATTCTGAATTTACTAAATCCTGGTGTTGGCAGGATTTAATAAATCTGGATTTACAGGATTTACTAAATTTGTTACCAGACAAACCCTATATGGCTTTGAATCTCTTTATTCAAATTCATTGCTTCAAGTTCTCCTTGGCTGGATATGCATGAAATCCTGCATAAGTGTTATTCCAGTTTATAAAACTTGAGCACAGTCATTAGGAAACAAAAATGGTATAACCTATAAATAGTAAATATGAAATAAATGGCCACCAACATTTTTTTTTTTTTACAGACTGCTTTCAAGTATGGGCAAGTTTGTCAAGTTTTTCAAAACAAAATTCATGTGACAGCGATGTAGCTGAAAATGGGAAAGCAGAGAGAGGCAGAAAGACATGGAAATATCATCCATATTACATGGAAAAACAAAACAGCAAATCATACACGCCTCAAAAAATAATGTATACCAAAAAGTTAGTAAACTGGTCAGGATCAAGACATGTTGCTGACTCGGACTGAGTATCAGATAACCCGGCAGGATGAGGTAATGAGTCATGAGGATCCACCATTCCCAGCACAATGGGTTCATTCCATCTATTGATAATTGCATTTATACCAACTTGAGACATGTGTTCCAACAGTTGGGGATAAAATGTGTTGTAAGGGGCCACCTATAGAATAAAATCACAGAAATGAAGTCCTGGTTCTTATTTCCTCTTTGAGTAGATTACCATCCACAAAAGATGAAACATAAAACAATCATAAGCTTACTTGTAGTTTATGATTATCTCCCAGTACAAGGGGACTATGATTAATCCCCAGGTAAAAAACACATTCACGGCAATTCACAATGCATATGCGCTTTGCAGCAGCTATAATTTGCACCCTCTCACAATGCTCCACTCTCAAAGCCTGTAAATTTGACAAGACATTACATTCATCACCTTAAATCAAACAATATGATCTAACTATGCACCAATGAATACCAAATGAAATGTTAAAATAAACAACAACACAAAAACAGCTCACAACAACTACTAGTAGCCTTTTGAGCAATTAAAAAAAAAAGGAACATCTGCATACATAACACACAATTCTTATGTATTTACCATCTCACACCTAATCTTTCATAGTTACACACATTGCATTCCAATCTTTAATATCACATAAAAATAACACTGTTACCATTTTTTAAAAGTCGAAAACACCTTTTTATGTATAGGTTTAAAGCACCAAAGTTCTATGTGCGTAAATAGGAAAGTTGAGGTGTAAGATATGTAAATATATAAGAATTGTGTGCTACGTATGCAAACTCTCTCAACAACAATGTCATGCAAGCAAACTCTATTTACTTAGATCAATATGAACAATTATTTTAATACAAGTATGTAGAAGTTCACCATATTGCCAAATATCAATTAATTTGCAACATAATCACACCATCAAAAGATATGAAACAATTCTTTTAATACAAGTAGATTGAAACCCAATTCTTCGTGTTGCGAAATAGCAAGTGATTTGCAATTTGAATTAATTGCAGCATCAGAAGATTAAAGAAGTTTATACTTCATGTGGTCAACACTTTATAACAAAAAGGATTTGGCATTTACGTTTTTATAAGATATAATCCAGGCAGTTTATATATAATTTATAAATTTAAGCAAAAAACTAAAGGAGAAAGCAATTTTATAAGCTCTATTAAACCAGTCACTCATGAGACTTGATAGCAAAAATAAATCATCATAGCATCCTGCGTACCTTGCCAACAGCACCAACAACAACCGTTGCATCAGAACAACCATAAACAGTGGCATAACTCAGCGGAGCCAATATATATATCACTGAATCATGGCAATTCAAAACCTGAAGTGAAGAAATCCATTCCATCAGTGAAATAGTCGTATCCACATGCTATAGATTACTAAATTAAATGTACAAAAACTCCAGTAATATTTTTTAGAGGCCCTCACCTTGACAGGATGTCTTATCGTGTCAGAAACTTGCTTCACTACAGAAGCTTTAGAAATACCGTCTACTATAGTCTGACTCCTCGACTGTACAGTACTAGGTTGAAATAATCCACTCTGCAAACCACTGCTTTGCAGCTTTGCTTTGTTTGCGGAGGCATCCATCATTGTTACATCCACATCATTAATGCCCCCCATTCCAGTTCCTCTTGTAGGTGATTTATCAGCAGCAACAATGTGCTCCAAAGAAATTGCTACACTTCGCAAAAGCCAGTCAAGAACTTTGCTAGCAGACACAGAAATATTAGAGGCATTGTCATCACAGTTTGCAAAGAAAGGACAAGCTTGGCTAAGCGGTATTCCCTCGTGGCCATCGTCAAAGAATTGAATCAGAAGCCCAAGGCGCTGAAAACTGTCCAAAGTTAAAACCTGTTAACATTAACAGGAGTAAGACACAAACATAATGCCAGATCTTGTCCACCATGGACAGCAGCAAGCTATGAAAAAAAAAAGGGAGACAGAATAAAGAAAGAAAAGATGATGAAGAACAAGGCAAAGATGCAAAAATGATAAATTGAGCCAACGAAAGAGATAAATATGAAACGTTACTCAGCGATGAATGGTAAAGAATAAACCATAATGCAACCAAACTAACCAGTGATTCAGCCCCTTCGCCCTCAACTGAGTCAGCCAAAACAGAAACTATGTTTTCCATGTGCTTCTCAAGATATGACAACTGATGGGCTTCTTCATCAGCAGGCGAAGGCATAGATCGGCGACTACTACAGCGTTTGAGCTGCAATTCAACAAAAACCAAGCATAAGCCTGTGAAAAAATAATACACCAAAAAAGCAATCCTCATAACGAACAAAAATTTCAGTTTCTTGTAAGCAGTTAATCAGAGTAATGAAAATAAAACTATCTATTCAAAATTCTACAAAATTCTCTCCAAAGCCAAACCTGTAGCTTGCTCACAAATACTCACCGAAGTGCATCAATACAATATCTTATTCGTAATCAAACCACCAATAATCTCAACCATATACTCTGCATTCCAAACTAAAACATTTTCCAATCCGCGAATACATCACATTTGCAACGACATAGAAATTCCCCAACCTGAATAGGCGTGAGAGCCGATAGGTATCCATCAAACGCAGAAGTCGACGGCCAAACATCTGCAACCGCTGCAGAATCCTTATGCGTCTTGGATACCAGTCTTCTATACGACTGGATGTATAAAAACAGAACGAGATCACGAACATCGACGGAATTCAGATCCTCCGGCTCATACGGAAGGACAGAAACGAGAGTATCCAGAACAATCCCAGCATCGACAAGCGAGATCTGGAGACCATCGGCGAGGCCAAGCGCGTCGACACGGTGTAGAGCCGTGGCATGACGCTGGAGAAGCTTCTCCTTAACGTATATTAGGGTTACGATTCCATCTGTAAAGATTAGCTTCGGAATGGGAAGGAGACCGTACTCGAAAAGCTCGCGCCTCGGCTGCAAAAGGGGATGGGAGTGTCCTCCGCTGTCTTCTTCGCCGGATGGTTCAGCCGGCGAGCTTTTTCGAGCGGAGGTTTCGAAGTTGAGACTTTCGGTCATGGCGGAGGTGAATGGATTTCTTGGTAGTAGGTGCCGGATCAGGAGGGAGGAGGGGAAGCGGTAGATGAGCGGGATGTGCGGGGAGGTGCGGGGAGGTGTTCCGCGAAGCAGGGAAAAAATATTTCATTTGAGTTTGTGAGAATATAACACAGTAATTCAGGTGTTATTTAGATGTTATCATATGTTATTCATATATTATTGTGTTCTGAAAATATTCTTAATATTATAATAATATAATAATATATCAATAACACTTGAATAATGCGCGATAACTTTTGAATAACATGAGAGGAATATTTTTTTATGTTACCGAATCAATTTTTTTTCTCACATTCACATAAATGACATAATTTTATTAGATTCTCCACGTAATTATATATATAAAAATGTAATATTTTTTCGAAGCACGGAGGGCTGATGCTTGATGGGTATGGTCAACGGTTGGCTTCCGAACGCTGTGGGCATCAGAGGCATGTTATCTTATGAAGGTGTGATAATATTGTCATTATATTCAAGACAATATCACATCACAATAATATTATTATTATCTCAATATCATGAATATTATCCGTACATAATATTTCTTAATTGAGCAATTGGTAGAGCTTGATCAACGGGTCAGCTTTCTGGATATGTGGTCAGGCCCGATCTGAACCGTGAGTGAAAATATTTAAATTTAGTACAATTTGTATGGATACTTAATAGAAAAAAGGGGTATTTACGTTCATAAAACTCAATTCTTATGTTTCTACATATTTGACATCTAAAATTTATATTTTTTTCTTATATTTATATCACCCAAATCATTCATATCACAAATATATCACAATTATAATTTTTAAAAAGGGAAATAAAGCTTCTAAGTTCTAATGCATAAATAAGTTGGTATGCATGTAAGTAAGAATTGAGTGATATGCATGTAAAACTTTCGAGAAAATGTTATTTTAAAATAAAATAAATAATTTATTTTGAAATTAGCTCTATTTTAAAAAAATATTGAATTAGTGCTGATAGTGTGACATTTTAAAGCTATTAAAATCTATACCAATTGGCTACATTAATTGTGTGATATTTTAAAGCTTCTAAAATTGTTGAATCTTTTTGGGATGTAGCGTCCCATGTTGTTTGTGGATACATACGATACGAAAAAGAACTCGTAAGGTAAAGGAGGTGATGGAAGAGAGAAAAGGGAGATGGATGAAATTTCCCCAAATGGACCCAGAGTAATTCTTGTACCACTGATTGCTAAAAGAATGACATTTTCCCCGCTTTTGTTTAATTACCAATCTTTAGGGGTCTTTTGGTTTGCTAAAAATGAAACATAATGCAATGTAAAAGGTTTGCAGAGTACTATGATTACAATACATTTGAAATACTTTGTGTTGTTTTGTTAACTGTAAAATAAATGTAGGACTATATTTTTTTTTGTTTGGTTGAAGTAGATTCAAAATAATTTATTTACTTGGGAGAAAGGGGATAAATAGCAACAACACGACAGCGGCGGGCGGGCAGGCAGCGATAGTGGACGATCACGGTGGTGGCGGACAACAACAACGAACCGCAGGCGGGCGAGCAGCTGTCGGCGGACGGAGGCGCCGGCAGGTGATGGCGTTAGCGGCAACTTGCCTATAACATTTTATATGAACAATGCAATTCAAATTTGGCCAAATCAGTCGAAGTTTAACTTCAGCCAAAATGAGCTACTGTGTAAAAATCACATTCATTAACACTTTACATCATTTTTGTAAATTTGCATACCAAATATAGAATTTTCTCAAAACTCTGCAAAAAAAATTACAGCATACCGCTAATTCACTCGACCAAACATCCCCTTAGAAAAAAAGGTTCTTCGCGAGCCAAAAGGAGATGAGAGAGAGAGAGAGAGAGAGAGAGACCCCTTCTAAAGAGGTCCCACTCCATTCATGCATGGAACCCGCACATAAAAAAATAATTGATGTCATATCGTTTGTTCCCACCTTTCCCTGGTGTTCTCTAGTGAAAATTTTAATGTGAAATAGATTCGCAGCCATCGTAATCATCAAGCTATCATAATTAAACCATACAAACACCATCTCTGGCACCTTGAAAATACTTGGGTTCTAAATGCTTGACGACACCCTTAATGAAGGTTGTCAAATATGGTCTCTTACACCTTCAAAAGACTTTTGTTCTAATTGTCTGACGAGGTCTTTAATGAAAGATTTATAGGTGTCTACAGCAGTCATTCTGGTTTCTTCTTATGGTTGGCTTTGTTGATGTAGCTTCATTCTTACCACCCTCTTCGCTGGACTTAGTTCAGACATTTCAGCTGGCGGGCTTAGTTCAACCACTTTAGCAAGTGGCTTTGACAGGTGAACTCAGCTCCTTACGAATGAGCTTCCCTCCATTCTAATATTTTGTATACAAAAGTATTTGTAGTTGTGATGTAAATAAATAACAGGAAGATTTAGATATGAGATACATAAATGAAGGTGTCGAAAGTAGCATGTATGCAAATCTTTTTCTTAATTTATTAAAATTTTGAATAACCTTTATAATTTAATGCAGACCCCGAGATAGTGGTACAAGAGGTTTTATGGTTTCATGTCAAGTAGTAAGTACATGAAGTATCAGATAGAACACTGTTGCTTAATTAAAATTTTTAATAAAAGTTATATATTGCTTCTTTTGTAGTAGATGACATGCTAATCGTAGAAGCAGATATGGAAAAATTACAAACTTAAAGGACCAATTATTAAGAAAGTTTGAGAAGAATGATTTTGCTCTGACCAAGAAGATTCTCAGGATGAGAATTAGCGGGCATAGGAGTGCAAGTACACTAAAATTGCCTTAGGCAGAGTGTTTTAAGAAGATCTTACACATGTTTAACATGGGTGAGGCAAAATCATTTTGCACCCTCTTAGGTAATCACTTCAAGCTATTTAAGGAACAATCACCCAAGTTTGAAGCAGAGCAATTAAAAATGAGAAGAACTCCATATGCTTCAACTATTGAAAGTTTGATGTATTTTATAACATTTATGAGACCAGATATAATCAACAGGTACATATGCAATCCGCACAAGCATCATTGAGAAGCAGCGAAGAGGATTCTTAAATATTTCAAGGGAACAATTAACAAAGCACTTTGCTTCAGAACTGCATGCATTAATCTACAAAGAATATAGATTCAAATCGGGCAGGATAAAATTGGTAGAAAATGTACAACATAATATATCTTCGTTTGGAAAACACAACAATAAGTTAAGTTTTCAGACTGCAGAAGATCGTTGCACTTTCAATCATGAAAGTTGAATACATTGTTATCACTAAGGCTACAAAGAGTTGATTTGGCCGCAGAGCGTTATGGTAGAGCTAGGGAAGAACTAAGAGATTGAAAATCTTCATAGTGACAATATATGTGTTATTCATATAGCTAAAAATGTCATTTTTCATGCTATGACAAAACATATTCAGCTTGGGTATTACTTTATTTGTTCTCTTTTAGAAGATGTCAATTATGCTTGGAGAAGATACACAAATTTCAAAATCCTACAGATATGTTGACTAAGATAGTGACTATTAAGAAACGAAATCTATGCTTGGCTTTAGTTGGAGTACAAGAAGATTGAGACGTGAGGTGAGCCACTTTACATGTGCATGATTATGAAGTTGGTACAGACGTACGGATCAATCTCCAAGTGGTAGATTATTGAGTGTGGAGTCAGCTTGCCCGCTAGTGCCCAACATTAGTAGAATGGGGGCCCTTGAGCCTCACAATGGATGCCTCTGTGCTTGGGTTGTGGGTGCCCCAATGTCTGGATCCGAAGGGGGCAGCGCCCCTATGGCATATGGGGTGCCCAGGCGTCATTAGGGTTGTAATCGAGCCAAGCCGAGTCGAGTACATCATTGTTCGTACTTGGTTCCATATAATTATAAGTTGTTCATGCTCGACTTGAGCTCGCTTTGAGCTTTCATACATTGTTCAAGCTCGATTTGTTTAACTTTTTCAATGTTTGAACTTGATTTGTACTTGATTTATTTATGACAAGTGAGTGAGTATTTAAACGGGCTAAAAATTCAAACGAGAATCAAGTTTTTCATATATAAAATTTAATAACTAATTTTACAATTTTGAGCGTAGTTATTAATTTGTTGTTAGTTACATAATTCTTATTGATAGGACTACACTAGTTCAAATTTTGTAAGTAAAAGAACTAAATTGATCCTCAAATTTATAAAGATGATCATTTACTTAATCTTATTAATAAAAAATAATAGTATTAAGGCAATCCACATTAATGTTGTTGGTAATTGCAGTGTGATGATCATAAGAAATAAATTCATTATATTCAAAGTTATGAAAACTCTACAAAAAAAAAATTTTTATAACACTCACTTTATTTTAAATATCTCATCTATCATTCACTTATTAATAAAAAATATATATAATTAATAATTAAACTAAAAATATTATTGATATAGAATATATTACTATTAAATCTATAATTAAATAAATATTAACTAATTAAATTTAATTTAAATAATATATCACATATATAATGCGAGCTATTATCGGGCTTAAAATCAATTATTTAATAAGATACTTGTTAAGCGATAAACGAGCTTGTTTGTGAATATAAACAAACAAATTCTACTATGTTCATGTTCATTTTGTTTAAGCTTCGAGCATTTAAAAATTGTTCAAGCTTGTTTTATGTAATAATTTGAACGAACATGAACGAACCTTAATCAAGTCAAGTTCAAGCTGTTCATGTAGTGCATTGGTTCATTTACAGCCTTAGCGCCAATCTTCCTTCAGCACACCGAGAACTTGTATTTCCAGCACCCAGACAGTTTTGTGACTTCAACCGGAGCGAGCAGAAAGACAACGCCCGGGAGTGGCGCTACGATCCTATAAGCAGTTTGCACATAGTTACATATTTAAGCCATCATTTCATGAAGGATCATATTCTTGCACGTTGTATTCTTGACGATATGTAATGGGTGCGAAGTTGCTAGAGCTAATCAATATTGGATTTCGGCGAGTGTATTATGTTCATGGGATCAAGAAAGGAATAAGCGTGAATTGTTGTAAGATCCAGTGGTACAAAGAGTGGATCTGAGTGGTTTAATTCTGTATTATTCGGT